TTTCTCGTGATTGCTATAGGGGTGCCGGGGGGGGGGGGGAGAGTTTTGATGACTTTGCGTAAGTGCAATGTAGGTCACATACCTGTATGTATGCAAGAAGAACAATACTGCAAATGTAAATAAAAAAGATGAATAAAATAAAATAACAAGTTTTTTTTTGTCTAAAAACGTATTTAACGCCCCATTCCTATGTACAATTGACAGTTGGAGTAGTATTGTATACTATCTGTATGTGGAATGCAAATAAGAAGGATACCTGTAAATAAATAAATAAATAAATAAAAAAGCTTTTGTTTAAAAGAACATAATGTGCAGGAATAGTAGTCCGTTTCTCATTATGATGTACAATTAACAATTTTAGTACTACATGTATTCTCAACTATGTCATTAATTTTGTACAAAAATTATACAAAATTCCAAAACTTATTCAGGATCTGAAAGAGGACGTCTTCATTGCTTTGACTACCGGTCGTGACGTAGACTAAAACTGACCAATATGGCCAGCAAGGATGACCCCCTCATTAAGATGAACTGCAAGGCAACACCGCCAGTGAAGACCGTTATTAAGGGTGAAAATACGAGCCTCTCTCTCTCTCTTTCTCTCTCCTCTCTCTCTCTCTCTCTCTCTCTCTCTCTCACACACACACACACACACACACACACACACACACACANATAAATAAATAAATAAAAAAGCTTTTGTTTAAAAGAACATAATGTGCAGGAATAGTAGTCCGTTTCTCATTATGATGTACAATTAACAATTTTAGTACTACATGTATTCTCAACTATGTCATTAATTTTGTACAAAAATTATACAAAATTCCAAAACTTATTCAGGATCTGAAAGAGGACGTCTTCATTGCTTTGACTACCGGTCGTGACGTAGACTAAAACTGACCAATATGGCCAGCAAGGATGACCCCCTCATTAAGATGAACTGCAAGGCAACACCGCCAGTGAAGACCGTTATTAAGGGTGAAAATACGAGCCTCTCTCTCTCTCTTTCTCTCTCCCTCTCTCTCTCTCTCTCTCTCTCTCTCGCACACACACACACACACACACACACATACACACACACACACATATTAAACTTATTATTATGAACAAAATAAGAGCACTGATCTCGACGTAAATCTACCTTGGTACCTTGGTTGTTTGAAAACTGACAAAGCTTCGTTTCAGGTACAATCCCTGCGGATCTCAGCGGCTCTCTACATCGCGTTGCTCCAGCCAAGTTTGAAGTGGGGAATTACAGGATGCGCCATTTCTTTGATGGTCTGGCAATGGTCTATAGCTTCACCATAGAACAGGGCACCGTACTATTTCAAAGCAAGTAAGTCATGGTGAACTGTTTTCTATAACGTTTTTCAGTTTTTAAAGATTTTTTGTCTGGAAAAGAAAACGGCCATGGTGCAGTTCAAACATGTACTGTAACAAAGATTAGCATAACCAGGCAAATATTTTACACTGGACTTCAGAGAAACAGATCGAAAGGAAAATAATGTTTGTTTAGATATGTTGAATTAAGGTCAAACTCATGGCTTCTTTTCTCTTTAACTTCGTGAAACTTTATCACAACTATGCATCCATAACGTACAGTATTTCTGTCTGTTACTATAAAGATAGAATGACAGAATGGCTATTAACAAGGGCAATGTAGAGAGTGGGCTGCAGATTGTTTTCTGGAAATTAATTGTTCTTTTTCGTTTATTTGTTCAACGCAAAACTGTAGTTATTTATTAATGATATTGAAGCCGTAATACAGTAGTACACGGTTGGTACCAGTTGTAATGTGTGCGAGCAAGGTGAAGGACACGTGGAGACAGAACAACTTTTGTGTCCATCTATCTATCTATCTATCTATCTATCTATCTATACAGATAGATAGATAGATAGATAGATAGATAGATAGATAGATAGATAGATGTGTATAACAGGAGTGACGCCCATATTAAGGTACTGCAGTTCATATATATTTATGCGTTGTTCATATTTCAGATATATTGAGAGTGAAGCCTATACCAAAGCCATGTCGGCCAACTGTATCGTCTACTCAGAATTTGGTACTGCTTGCTTCCCGGATCCCTGTAAGAACATATTCTCCAGGTATTTTGCCTACTTCTCCGACGACAGAATAACTGATAACCCATCTGTCAACCTTCTTCCCTGCGAGAACGCCTTGCTCGCCATTACTGAAACTAAGTACTGGACCAAGTTGGACCCTAAGACTTTGACAACAACGGAGAAGAGGATTGACATGTCGCGACTTATCAGTGTGGCCACTCCTGCACACCCGCACACAGACGCCGAGGGAAATTTCTACAACTTTGGCACGTTGTATGGCGGGAGGCCAATCTACTACTTGTCCAAGATTCCACCACGTTTAGACGTGATTACCAACAACGAAGGCCCCAAACCAGCTGAAGATAAACCCCAACCAGAAATTCTTGCCAAGATTTTTGGCCAGTTCAAAGCGTTCCCAACATATTTCCACAGCTTTGCAATGTCGGAGAACTACTACGCGCTCGTCGAGCAGCCTTTGGGCATGAACGTGCTGAAATTGATGGCAAGGAAGGTGACCAGAAAGAGCTACCAAGAGGCAATGGAATGGTATCCAAACATCAAAGCACGGTTCCGATTGGTCAATCGAAAGACCAATGAGGAGGTAGCAAAACTGTTCACTGCGGACCCCTTCTTCGTCTTCCATCATATCAACGCTTATGAAGAGGAGGACCACTTGATAATAGACCTGTGCGGGTACAATGACCCGAGCATCATTGACGCCCACTATCTGAAGAATTTAGATCCTGAAAGCGGGTTGTTTTCGGACGAAGTGTTCCCCGAAAACATTTTACCGGAGATACGTCGCTACGTGCTACCTTTGAAACCGACATCCAACGCGATCTCGAAGAACGAGAATCTCATCACCGTGGAGCGTTTCAGAAACCGAATGGAAGCTCGGCGTGACATGACAGACGGGAGCATCCATTGCACGTTCATCGTGATAGGCAAACCTGGTTTGGAACTTCCCCGAATTAACTACGCCAGCTACAACGGTAAGAATTACAAGTACGTCTATTGCTGGGGCTCGTTCGCAGGGAAGCACAGCTATCGAAATGCCGTAGTTAAAGTGGATATGGAGAGCGGCACGGAAGTGGCATGGCGCGGCACTCACACCCAGTACCCCAGTGAGCCTGTCTTTGTCCCTCTAGCGTCCGCCGGGAGTGATGAGGACAGCGGTGTGGTGCTCGCGGCAATAACGGACGTTGGTCAAGGAAAGCCGGACTTCCTGCTGATATTGGACGCCAAAACTATGGTGGAGTTGGCCCGGGCAGAGGTGCCTACTGATGTTAACGTTCCGTTCGGTTTACATGGGCTTTTCACTTCTTAAGAATGGGGGGATTGCTTCATCAATGGACACAAGGCACATGTCAGTAGTTATGGATATTTTAAATAAGCTTTAGACACAATTTTTAGATGCGTTGAGTAACTGTGCCTATTAACTCCGACGACATAGAAATGACCGCGTCGTCGACGTCGCTGTGGCATTGCCAGCGTGACTGATCTCGTTGCCCTCACTGTCCAACACAATCAACTAAATCAAGGTATATAACAGCAGTAGCATTGCGTTTACACAATTTTCTGCAAACAAACCGTAAACTTTAACCAAGGAAAAAGAAACTCCAAAAGATATGCACTGTCTTTATATAATTAACAAGTTGATGGATTTGTTTTGACAACGAAAATTGCGACACATGGACCAATGCAAACAGTGAAACTGAAGTCAAAGCTTTCCCCAAAAATATTAAAAAAAAAACAAACTTGGAACTGCTTGAAAAAGGACGACTAAAGTACATGCTACTTAAAATATTGTTCATATATTAATAAAATGAAATTAAATATATTGAAGGGTTAACAACTGTTCTGGTGGTTAAGTGCCATAAAATGGATTTTTCTTTTTTTTTGCCACAAAGGATCCTGTGTGACAAGCAGAATAAATCCATAATAATTGCGATGGGCGCCGTTTTTGTGGTAAAATTCATAAATAGTTCTATGTATTGTATACAACGTACTTATTGTGGACTTTTGAATCTCGTATAAAGAGCTGTTATTATTTTAAGAAAAAAGGGACACTGCACAATTTGTGGCATTTGCAATCATTTCTGTATTTTTCCACCATAATGCATTAAATCGGATTGATCGATAGCTGCAGCACATACATTACATTAGATAACTGTATAATATATATGAGTAGATAGTTATATGATATATATCAATAGAAAGGTATATGATGTAAATCAACAGAAAGGGTGTCGAGGGTTGACCTTGACATTTAACAATCTTCCCTTTATCCTTTATGCAATTTTACATGTGACAACGCATATAAACCAGTGAACGTTTGTATTTTTTAATCCAAAGGACATATCCTTTTAAAGCAGTTGAGCCAAGGGGTTTAACCACCATAGATGTGTTTATACATATACATGTACATATACATATACAAAGTTTTTGAAAACCACTTCTGCTTCTGGTGTATGACAGGGAACATTCTCACATTCTGGTAGAGTGTTTGGCGCATAGTTCTGTATCCTGTATATTCTGCTTTTTTTCAAATAAAAGCCCGTGGTGTTAGGTTCAATGGTTTTCAATGTATCTCCGTCGCAGATCGCGGTCTCTTATTACATACAAAGGATGTTTTATTTTGTAGATACAATTTTTTAATATGAATTTACAGCTGCATGCAACTTAAAGCAAAAGCATGACTTTCTTTTAGTAAAAAAACGACTAATCACTCTTTAACGTCTATCTCCGCGTCCCTTTTTATTCAAAATTACAGCAATTTATTGCACAATCCAAACTGCTCGACAATCACCTCCACTGGGAGAAAATGTACTCCTTAAACATATTTGATTGCCAAATTACCTCTCAATCCACATCCTTATGACGCAACTAATTGGTTTTGGAACAATTCGGTCATCAAACTTTACTTGGGAAATAATGTCTCTCCTTCGGAAGCGATTACGTAAAGTTTATGGATTAATACCAACGTGAATATTGTCCCTGATCCAATTTGTGTTAAACAAATGACGGCAGCAGTTCTCCTCATCTGTAATTGCTGGCATCGCCTCAAACAGACCTGTGGGGTATTGCGTGCAAGCAGGCGGATTTCCAGTAGAAATAGAACGGCACAGCTCATTCCACCTCAGCAGAGCTGTTCTACAGTGGCCTTATCCATTTAATAGTTGTTTATTATTATGAAGAATATGAATAACTCTGATACTGGAGCTTACATTTAGCAACTGACCGACGTTGCGGTCTCATTCGCTGGACTGGTCGCCTGATCATACGGCCAGGAATGGTCACCAGTAGCCCGACCAGTGGCCCATCTTATCGTTCTTATCATCATATTGACGACTTACGTTGAACTTATACAGGGGCCGGTCCGGGATAATTTGAAAGGGGGGGGGGGGCGCGGGCTTTGGGGCCTGCAGAAGGGCCGCGAAAAATTGTTGGTATTTTAGAATGGGGACGGTGCCATTTGCTACAGATTAGAAATATGATTAGTCTAGTTAAAATTCTAATTTTAAGAGGGGCCATTGTGTTTTCAGAAATCAAAGAGTTGGGGGTCAGGACCTCCCTGACCCTCCCCCTAAATCTGCCACTGAACTAATAATAATAGGTTAGTAAGTAAGGTGGACCCATGTATATTGGAAACAGCCATGGGCCGCGCTGTGATCTGGTTTTGAAGCGTGCGTAGTTTAACAGTAAACTTATACGAGGAAGTAATTTACTTTTTGATCTAGAAAGTAATTTTTTATTGCTGGCTTTTTCGCACCAGAAATTGATGATGCATCGACTGGAAGCCTTTAAGCCCCATACAAAAAACATCAGCGTCATGTTAATCAAGTACGCTAGTAAAATATCTATGGGACTATTCCCAGACCCTGTCGTACTGACTATGGATCGAACTGTCTCCTGGAGGATTTCTCACTAAATTTCAATCAACTTAAGCGGCTTAGATATCTGTCACGCCTACTGAAGCTGCTAGGGGGTAATTAATCATCGTTTAAGAGTTTCAGTACGCATGCCAGACATCTAAGCCGCTTAAGTTGAGAGCAATTCAGCGAGAAACCCCTTGGAGACGGATCGATCCTGTTAGATCATGGAGTCTATATCTCTAGGCATGGGAACCCAGTCTTAGAGGGCGACTCCCTGGTCGTTATCTCTTTAATGGCAAGGGCATGGAAGTTATCACCGCGCCATCTATACGATATTGTGGTAACCACGGATACACTCACTGCAGTAGCTGAGAGCAGATCGTATTAGAGACCGAATACTGTCTACGAAATGGTGAATTCCATATCATTTTTCAATATACATTGTACGTTAGTTCCACGTTAAGGAAGGGCTCGGATGCTAGAGCAATTTATGTATAAATTTTTAATGAAAAGTGGAATTGAGAAGTTCACCTCTTTGCCTGAAGATCACATCTGAATTTTGAAGCTCTCATCGGGTATTTTTGTTATCATTGCAAGCCACTTTCTTATTTCACGAGATGCATGGTCGGTTCATAATGTTTGCCGTGATCCGTGTACCATCCCGTTCCCATGACTCGTGAATGCGACTTTTTTATTCACTATCATTCGTGAAGCTTAATCATTATACCTGGTGATTTGTGATTTGCAACTCTCATTTTTAAAGAGGTATTAATTTCATTTAATGTCATTTTTGCATTGATTTTTATTTGGCAAACAGTGATCACAATCCCTCTCTACACCCCCCCCCCCAAAAAAAAAATAAATAAAGGGGACCCTCACCTTAAGCCTGGGATTTTCCACAAAAGAAATGTGGATATTTTTCTGACACCACTGCTTCACACATGTTGTTTGGTTACTACATAACTTTCTCTGTCTCTTATTTCCCCTAATACGCAAAGGTTATGAAAACAATACAGAACAATGCGCGCTTGAGATGGCATATAGAGGAAAATATGCTCGTTTACTGGCCTAATATGTCCTCCATCTTGTGTCCTGACATGAACTCACTCCAGGCTGCAGGTAGTGCTATATGGCTGGCCTCGCGTCACAAAAAGCGTCGACCCTTGCGTAACAGCGAAGCGTTGACCCATCTGTCTAGAGAGACGCTTTNTCTACACCCCCCCCCCAAAAAAAAAATAAAAAATAAAGGGGACCCTCACCTTAAGCCTGGGATTTTCCACAAAAGAAATGTGGATATTTTTCTGACACCACTGCTTCACACATGTTGTTTGGTTACTACATAACTTTCTCTGTCTCTTATTTCCCCTAATACGCAAAGGTTATGAAAACAATACAGAACAATGCGCGCTTGAGATGGCATATAGAGGAAAATATGCTCGTTTACTGGCCTAATATGTCCTCCATCTTGTGTCCTGACATGAACTCACTCCAGGCTGCAGGTAGTGCTATATGGCTGGCCTCGCGTCACAAAAAGCGTCGACCCTTGCGTAACAGCGAAGCGTTGACCCATCTGTCTAGAGAGACGCTTTTCACCGTCCTCGCTACCGAGAACTTCAGAACATCGATGTGCGCAGTCCTCGCTGTTGATATGCCGTCAATCTACAGCTGTTTGCACGTTTAATATTCTTATAAAAGCAGCTAAGAATACTGTAAACAGGTAGGCCTACCCCTGTATATTGTAATTTAATTTTGTGTGTAAAAGGCAATTTCAAAGGGCAAGGTTGTGTCCTTATTTATTTTTATTATCAATATTATGCCTCGCTTAGGTGCACCTTGTTATATGGTCATGTGAAATGAATGCGTAGCACTGTTCAAATTGTTTGAGAACTAGCGTTCACCACAACAGATTATATAAATAAACCTGACTGTGCCCCGCGCCCCCCCCCTCCCCCCCTCTCTCTCCACACAACCGGTGTGATAGAAATGGAAGTTCTGGGAATGGAATCCCGGGGTCGTGTACGGTCATCTTACAGATTAGGGTTACAGGTGTGACAGAAATGGTATAGTCCAATGATTGGAAGTCCGCGCGGGCTCCCATATGATTAGTACAGGTTAAGTTAGTCGAATGTCACCTGTACAAAGTATAATGGGGAACAGACTACGGTTCCTGAAGGACTACTATTCCTGTCACGCCTTGTCACAGTTGGCAACTACCCAGTTCTGTTCCGTCGTGTCAGGCATTGGCCCAGGACGGCATGTGGGGAGGAAGGTGAATACACCAATTCTCCGCACCAGATTTAATTTGGACTAAAAAAAGCGTTAACGCAGCCCTATTGTGAGCCTGGGATAATAATGTATAGTCTCTTTTATACGTGAATGCTATAGGGGTGCCGGGGGGGGGGAGTTTTGATGACTTTGCGTAAGTGCAATGTAGGTCACATACCTGTATGTATGCAAGAAGAACAATACTGCAAATGCAAATAGACCTAAATAAACAAGTTTTTTTTTGTCTAAAAACGTAATTAACGTTCCATAACAATGTACAATTGACAGTTGGAGTAACATTATCATAGTACTCCAAATAAATACATAAATAAGTAAATAAATAAATAAATAAATCAATAGGGGAGACCGGGGCTAGTTGGCCCAGTCAGACACTTTTGGCCTTGTAGTTCCAACTAGAAATGAGTTAGAGTAACAAAACCGGTTTTAAAGTAAGCCCCATGAACTAAGCTACGTATGCAACGTCATTATTTTTCAAATACACGTATAATGCCAGATGGCTCACAATTTGACAAAAAACGCAGTTGACGTCAGGGGGGCCAACTTGCAAAATGAAGTAAATAACCCGTGTAAACGCCTTGAAAATACATTTTTTATAAATTTTTTTAAATTTATGAAATTGAGTTTTGAGAGTCTTTGATGAATAAATAGTTCAAATGAGGGAGATTTATTGAGGTTTCTGAACCTCACGTTGTAGGGGGGGGGGGTATGTGTTGCAAGAACAAAAATATCTATCAATAAATTTGTTTTGTTTTAATAAAAAATAAATTAATAATGGTATAAAGCAGGTTTTTAATGAATGAAAACGAATAATAAATTTTCGCTTTAAAAGAAAGTAANTTTTCGAGATTTTTTGATGAATAAATAGTTCAAATGAGGCAGATTTATTGAGGTTTCCGTACGTCACGTTGTAGGGGGGTCTATGTGTTGCAAGAACCAAAATATCTATCAACAGAATTTGTTTTGTTTTAATAAAGAATAAATTAATGATGGTATAAAGCAGGTTTTTAATGAAAGAAAACGAATAATAAATTTTCGTTTAAAAAGAAAGGAACAAATTCAGTTTTAAACCATCGAGTTTGTTTAAAACAATGGTCTCTAGCTCTGTTGCGCGCAAAGGTTTGTGGGTAATATGATGGTCCAACTTGCCCCGAGTCAAGGGGGCCAACTAGCCCCGGGTGCACACTTTTTATTTTAAAGGATGGCAGCCATTTATGGTGCTAGAATGAGCAACGATGATACATCTCTGTGAAACTTGAAACAATGAGCTTCAGTTTGATGCCCTATACATATATCATATTTGATCAAAAGCCTATGAAAATAGATGTTTAAATCTCTTAAACAAAACTACTTTTAGGTGCAAAAATCGTTTATTTCGACTCACCGCTTAAGTAAAACTTTTTAACGTCCGACACTTCCCTAGCATTGTAGGCTACAGTCACTTTACAAGAGTATGTGGCCAGTTTTTTTTACCCCGTAGTTACTTTTTCATAAATTGACGGGGGGCCAACTTACCCCGGGGTCCAACTAGCCCCGATCTCCCCTATCAGTTAGAAACCGTTCAGCGGTCAGTCATTTCGGCGTTTCTAGTAATGTGACGAAGTTCAACGTATTTTATATAATTATTTTAATTGAAATTTTAATTTGAAGACACGATCGGGTAGGCCTATATACATGTATAATTTTCATACATGTACCTACCATTGTTTAACATAATATGGAACATTCGTTCCAAATGAAATTAGCCTACTCTTATGACAGCATTTGATCATTCACAATGGCAGTCCCCAAAAAATCTTACGTTTTGCAGAGATAGGCATACTGTATTCTCGTTATGACACAAATGAATGATCATGATTAAATGGAAGGTTTTGTTGGACACTGTAAAATGTGTCATCACGTTCTCGATTTATTCAATTATAATCCTCTTGGGTATGGAAATCAAAACAAATAAAAACAATATACATGTATTTTCAAACGATAAGTAATGTGCTCTCTAAAATATAATCATATTTATTTTCTGCAATATTGAAGATAAGTAAGTACTGGAATGGTTTGCCTGGCGATCAATAATTTGGTGGTGGGGGAGATAATATGTTTTTTCTATCAAATTCTTCATTTGAATGAACGCTTCTTCGAAGATAGTAGTTTTAATGACCCAAATACCAGCGTTGCTATGGTAGTTATAATTCCATCATGTGCTACGTGTATTTCAGGGTCACGGTCGAAATGTCGAGGGGGGAAACAGGCCGATTGGGGAGGTTTATTGACAACAGCCAAGGGGTTTATATTCGATAATTCCAATTTGATGTCCTGTCACAGGCTCTAAGTTACATCTTAATTGATTTTGGAATGGTTTCCTAACGTTAAAGGTAATTGTCCTTTGACATGCAAAACCCGTCCCTAGGTCGTTGAGTATTACATTTCAAGTATGTTTCAGTATATTTAGTCTACAATCCACTCCTCCTTAACTAGCACTTGAAATCAAATTCCAACTGAATGTCAAGTCTTAATTAATACACCGCAAAAAAATATAAAGGGGTTTTATTCCACAGCCAAATAGTGACCCTAACTGACCTGACAAGGTAACTTTTTTACACTTAAAATAGTCGACTTACCGGTACCTCCTGGTGCTGCACGATCACTTACGTGAAGGCTGCTATCAATTACTTTTGTTGTTCATCTGCTGGTCGTCTCGGTTTCATAGCCGTGATGACAGGATCATTCATTGGTTTATCAACTTATCCCTCTCTACCCTCGGCGAGAATCTTGGGATATATATATACTATAATGCACATTAATTCCACACGGCATCCTTCTTGACATTAATTTGCGGTTGCTGAATGTGACGTTGACGAAGTAGTAGGTTACACATATTCATTTGGCAATTTTGCCACTCTTCCTTTTGTACACATGGTTCCTATCTGCTAATGGAACAAAGTGGCATGTGAAATTCAACGCTTAAATGAGTTTTGAAGGTTATGAGGTGAAATACTAATGTTCTGAAAGATAGAACTGCTCTCGGAAACCAAAGTGTTTTTAGTTGGGTACATTGATACAGTGTAGGCTACTTATCGCATGTTCTCTTGTAAAAAGTTGGAGCATGAGTACGGAGGTTGCATGTCAAAAACTTTTCAACTGTTGTGTAACGTAGGCGCACTTGGATGAATCTTAAGCAGAAAAATTCGAAATAGTAACCTATGAATTTGATTATTGTTTGACAGCTTCCTGTTGTACTGCGAGAGAATAGTACCTGTCGTGTAACAAGTATTCTGTTACTTGTGACTTACTTTGAGTCCTCCATACTTCTATCCACCATGACCCTCAATTGCGCCTTTATTAGGAAAACAATTTTGTGGAAAACAGTGATAATGTGCCATCCACTCATATGCTTCTAGTCCAGGAAATTGGTGAAAAATTGTGCATTTTTTACCTACAAGCATGAAATTTGGCACACTTATGGACAATAAAATTCTAAGCAAATTTGGATATATGGGCATGTCTGAAAATTCCAAAATGGCCGTCAAATCCAATATGGCCACCAAAATACCTTTTCAAATTAAAACTTCAAGTACATAGTCTTCTAATGACTTAAAATATCATATAAAGGTTAGAAAACACCATGGTATGAATCCTTTAGGTGTATTAAATCCAAAATGGCCGCCAAAAGTAAAAAAAGCAGACCATTTATTCAAGATATCCATTTGAATGGGGAATTCATCAAGCACTTAAAACTACAAGCATAAAATTTGGCAGGTTTGTGAAAAATGAAATTCTGAGCAAGTTTGGATGTATGGGCATATCCGAAAATTTAAAAATGGCCTTCAAATCCAAGATGGCCTCCAACAATACGGCTTCTAATTAAAACTACAAGTATATAGTCTTTTAAGGGCGTAAATATCATACAAAGGTTAAAAAACACCACGGTATGAATTCAGAATCAATATTTGCTTTTAAAGGTGTATTAAATCCAAAATGGCCGCCAATAGTAACNTACTCACTCACTGTCATGATCGTGCGTTCTTTATTCCGTTTCAAGTTAGTATAAGCTCTTATTTTCATATGGACGCGTTTATTCCCGTGAATTTCCTAAATGTCCACTAGACTGTCAAGAACTATAGTGATTCAGAGCTTAAATCAGAACTTAGTCCCTTATATAGGCACAGTATATAATGGATTTTTACTGCATACGTTTTATAAATCTATTAATACTTCAATTTATGTAAAGAGCTCCCTATGAAGGATAGTCTAGCTACTTTATTCTTTTACGCGTTTTGTTTTCAGAATTTTTTTTTCAATTTTCAGTTTTTAGGGTTTAGGTATGGTCATTATAAAACTGCCAAAATGTAGGCGTTTTGTGCAAGTAGTAGAAATGGATTATATTATTTTCGAATCAGCAGATCTAAAATAAACAGAGTTTATTAATAAACGCGCAACATATTCGTAATTAAAGCCTATTTGCCTGTTTGACTGCAATTAAACTAAGACGCAACTGACCATGTGTGTTTGATTGACGGGGCTGGTTTAGAGATGTGCTGCATACCTTGTTGGTATTTATACCTAGGCCTTCACAAGCTATATATCCCATATCATTCGGATAATGTTCAAGTGATGTTTTGCTATAGGATGACAACTTAGCATCCCAATTGTATTGCTTTAGGAGCGTACAGTGAAGGGAATATCATGAAAACCCAGTGATCTGACCAAAGACATTGAGGCGATTTGATGGACTAATGGTAGAGGACAGATCCAGTATAACTACGTAGTATAAGTATGCATACCAATGCAATTTACTGTTATACAACGCCGTACTCCCTTGGGTAAAATTAAAGGCTAACATCCCCGTTTCAATTTACCACTTCAAGGGAAAGATTCAGAACAGCGCCCTGGCATGAATTTTGATCTTACAAACTGACCCCTGGAAACCACAAAATTTTCTTTAATGCCCGAAATCTGTGAATTTAAATACTCGATCCCCACCATTAAAAGTGCCACCGACCCTCACATTGACTGCCTCTCTTGTTATACAGCACAATTCAAATTAATTTAAATGAGACAAACCTAGCTGGTAATTTTTTTTATTACAGAATCGGGATTCTTTAACATAGATTTTGTCTCGACTCCAGGGACGTCTCAATTTCTTTTTCGCCCTATACATTATAGTAGATGTGCATACATGGAAAACAGACTAAAGGCATCAAAACAGACTAAAGGCATTTTCGCGTCGATCATTATACCGTTTTATTTGCATCTCATCTGTAGCGACATTTGTTGCCAGATTAACGAAGCACCGCACAATTATGTAAGAGAACCACGAAAACAGAGCACCCGCACCAGACACGGGCATTTAATTTTGGTTGGTCCTTACGGGCTTGCATTCGACCGGAGGCAGATTTGTGAATCAATCTACAGTATATTATTTTCCGTTTATATAAAAGTTACCGAAGTCCTGCATAACGCTATCTCAAAAATTGGTCACTTTATGACCCTTTAAAACACCGCAAACTTTCAACAAAAAGTGAAAATGTGAGCCACATATATTTAGATCAATATCGGAATAAACACATGACACGTTCCATTACTTTCACTGGTTTATGTCATTGTACCCTCTAACAGAGAAAGCAGTCAGCAGTTATTAAAAGTAATATGAAACATTAATAAAAGCGTTATGCAAAACGTGAGCGGTTGGGATAAGTTAATTTACGCTCTCATCTTTCATATGAAAAAAAAGTGAATATTTATTACAAGAGTTCAGGGTGGGAGGGGGAGCATAAGGGCATAGCAACTATTATGTTATGAAATAACGATTTGAAATAAAAAAAGTCAAGTTGAGCCTTTATACTGATATACTTTATCGTGTTTCGTGACTATCTAGCTTGGTCGGTTAAGAAGATATATATACCCCCCCCCCCCAGATACTTTGATTTATGACGAGAGAGAGAGAGAGGNAGCATCAAAACAGACTAAAGGCATTTTCGCGTCGATCATTATACCGTTTTATTTGCATCTCATCTGTAGCGACATTTGTTGCCAGATTAACGAAGCACCGCACAATTATGTAAGAGAACCACGAAAACAGAGCACCCGCACCAGACACGGGCATTTAATTTTGGTTGGTCCTTACGGGCTTGCATTCGACCGGAGGCAGAGCTGTGAATCAATCTACAGTATATTATTTTCCGTTTATATAAAAGTTACCGAAGTCCTGCATAACGCTATCTCAAAAATTGGTCACTTTATGACCCTTTAAAACACCGCAAACTTTCAACAAAAAGTGAAAATGTGAGCCACATATATTTAGATCAATATCGGAATAAACACATGACACGTTCCATTACTTTCACTGGTTTATGTCATTGTACCCTCTAACAGAGAAAGCAGTCAGCAGTTATTAAAAGTAATATGAAACATTAATAAAAGCGTTATGCAAAACGTGAGCGGTTGGGATAAGTTAATTTACGCTCTCATCTTTCATATGAAAAAAAAGTGAATATTTATTACAAGAGTTCAGGGTGGGAGGGGGAGCATAAGGGCATAGCAACTATTATGTTATGAAATAACGATTTGAAATAAAAAAAGTCAAGTTGAGCCTTTATACTGATATACTTTATCGTGTTTCGTGACTATCTAGCTTGGTCGGTTAAGAAGATATATATACCCCCCCCCCCCAGATACTTTGATTTATGACGAGAGAGAGAGAGAGGTTAAGGCATTCTGTAAATGTCCCGAACTAGAGGAGAGTGTTATAAACTAAACACATCTTGGCAATAATAAATAGTTAAATTAATGTTTATATTTTTATTAATATCAAACAATTTTACTGTTTGCAGCTATACCTGTTTGGGACCTGTACTCTGCGCCATATAATAGCAATGGTGTAAAGTAGTGATATTGTAAAATCCTGCAATAAAATTTTCTTCAAATATCAAATTTTATGAGATGGTTGAAAATAATATCAGTAATAGAACAGTAATATAATTCAGTATAATGATACTGAATTGTTGCAAAGACATGTAGGAAGCAGGGTGACCATATATGCTCGGAATATTGTCGGAGAGGGAAATTTCTCGAGTTTGTTCACTGCCCTGTGAAGCCATATTTTGTGGCCTGGGATGCCGTATCCGTTACTTCGTGACCTGACCTGTCAAAGGCATGTCTGGGCGCTCTTTTCATCTTTCGATTCTTCCACATTAATCAAGATACGGAGTATCAATTACAAGTGCCCGGGGAGGGGGGGAGGGAGCATGAAGGGAATAAATAATTATAAGTAGTATCCTTGCAACACAAGGTTACTCTGCAATTTATATCTTTCAGTTTATGCTGTGAAATAACAGTCAGCTAGTCTGTTGATCTCGCGAATCAACCAAATGACCGTTAGCTGAGTTGCTTAACTGCAAGTAATTAATCCCCTCCCCTCCCCCGAACGTCATACTGGCAGGTTTCCAAATGAAGACTATACCGCAGAAAAAGTTTGGGGCCCAAAAGAGAGTCAGCCAAGGACACGTTTGGGGAACACGTTTGAACACGTCATGATGGACATTTACAGGTGTAGGACCAGAACAGAGCCTCTGGTAAACAGTTTAGAATCAAAGGACCGAACTTGATTTGAGGACCAGAAGAGAGGCTTAACAGTCGTAAATCTACCTTGGTACCTTGGTTGTTTTGAAAACTGACATTGCTTCGTTTCAGGCACAGTCCCTGCGGATCTCAGCGGCTCTCTACATCGTGTTGCTCCAGCCAAGTTTGAAGTGGGGAATTACAGGATGCGCCATTTCTTTGATGGTCTGGCAATGGTCTATAGCTTCACCATAGAACAGGGCACCGTACAATTTCACAGCAAGTAAGTAATGATAAACTGAAGTTTTGTTTGTCTGAAGATGTAGACGGTTATGGTGCAGTTTAGTCATGCACTGTAACAAAAATTAGTATAACCAGGGAAATTATTTACACTGGATTTAGAGAAACAGATTAGAACATAAACTGTGTTTTTTAAATACTAGGGATTAAGGCTCAACTCAAAGTTTTTTTTTCTCTTAAACTTTATGAAACTTGATCACAACCATCCAAAATATATAGTATTCTCTCTGTTACCTTAAAGATTGAATGGCACGATGGCTAAAGAAAGGCAATGTACATGGAGAGTGGACTGCATTTTGTTTTCTGTTTCTTGGAAATTTATCGGTCCTTATTTATTTCTCCAAGAATATTTATTTATTTAATGATATATTATATTGAAGCCGTGGTTCTCGTTCACTCGACTGATTGACCAGTTGTGATGTGTGCGAGCAAGGTGAAGGACATGTGGAAACAGGCAACAACTTTGATTTTCGTTTGTATTGAGAGTGTAACTTATACTAAGGCATTGCTGTTCACATATCTTTATGCGTTGCTTATCTTTCAGATGCATTTCGAGTAAAGCCTATACAAAACCATGTCAACAAACTGTATCGTTCGTCTTTCATATATGTTGAGAGTGAAGTCTATACCAAAACCATGTCAACAAACAGCATTATTTGTCTTTCAGATATGTTGAGAGTGAAGCCTAAACCAAAACTTTTTAACACATTGTATTATTTGTCTTTCAGATATATTGAGAGTGAGGCCTATACCAAAGCCATGTCAACAAACTGTATCCTCCACTCCGGATTCGGTACTGTTCGCTTCCCGGATCCCTGTAAGAACATATTCTCCAGGTATTTTTCCTACTTCTCCGACGACAGAATAACTGATAATCCATCTGTCAACCTTCTTCCCTGCGAGGACGCCTTGCTCGCCATTACTGAAACTAAGTACTGGACCAAGTTGGACCCAAAGACGTTGACAACAACGGAGAAGAGGATCGACATGTCGCGACCTATCAGTGTCGCCACTCCTGCACACCCGCATATAGACGCCGAGGGAAATTTCTACAACTTTGGCACGCTGTATGGCGGGAGGCCAATCTACTACTTGTCCAAGATTCCATCACGTTTAGACGTGATTACCAACAACGAAGGCCCCAAACCAGCTGAAGATAAACCCCAACCAGAAATTCTTGCCAAGATTTACGGCCAATTCAAAGCGTTCCCAACATATTTCCACAGCTTTGCAATGTCGGAGAACTACTACGCGCTCGTCGAGCAGCCTTTGGGCATGAACGTGCTGAAACTGATGACAATGAAGGTGACCAGAAAGAGCGTTCAAGAAGCTATGGAATGGTATCCAACAATCAAAGCACGGTTCCGATTGGTCAATCGAAAGACCAATGAGGAGGTAGCAAAACTGTTCACTGCGGACCCCTTCTTCGTCTTCCATCATATCAACGCTTATGAAGAGGAGGACCACTTGATAATAGACCTGTGCGGTTACAGTGACCCATGCATCATTGACGCCTTCTATCTGAAGAATTTAGATCCTGAAAGCGGGTTGTTTTCGGGCGAAGTGTTCCCCGAAAACACTTTACCGGAGGTCCGTCGCTACGTGCTGCCTTTGAAACCGACATCTGACGCGATCTCGAGGAAAGAGAATCTCATCACCGTGGAGCGTTTCAGAAACCGAATGGAAGCTCGGTATGACATGACAGACGGGAGCATCCACTGCACGTTCATCGTGATAGGCAAACCTGGTTTGGAACTTCCCCGAATTAACTACGCCAGCTACAACGGTAAGAAGTACCAGTACGTCTATTGCTGGGGCTCGTTCGCAGGGAAGCACAGCTATCGAAACGCCGTAGTTAAAGTGGATATGGAGAGCGGCACGGAAGTGGCATGGCGCGGCAGCCACACCCAGTACCCCAGTGAGCCTGTCTTTGTCCCTCTAGCGTCCGCCGGGAACGATGAGGACAGCGGTGTGGTGCTCACGGCAGTAACGGACGTTGGTCAAGGAAAGCCGGACTTCTTGCTGATATTGGACGCCAAAACTATGGTGGAGTTGGCCCGGGCAGAGGTGCCTACTGATGTTAACGTTCCGTTCGGTTTACATGGGCTTTTCACTTCATAAGATTGGGATAAGAGCTTCATCAATGGACGCAAGGCACATGTCAGTAGTTATGCATATTTTAAATCAGCTTTAGACACAATGTGTAAATGCGTTGAGTAACTGTGCCTATTAACTCCGACGACATAGAAATGACCGCGTCGTCGACGTCGCTGTGGCAGTGCCACCGTGACTGATCTCGTTGCCCTCACTGTCCAACACAATCAACTAAATCAAGGTATATAACAGCAGTAGCATTGCGTTTACACAATTTTCTGCAAACAAACCGTAAACTTTAACCAAGGAAAAAGAAACTCCAAAAGATATGCACTGTCTTTGTATAATTAACAAGTTGATGGATTTGTTTTGACAACGAAAATTGCGACACATGGACCAATGCAAACAGTGAAACTGAAGTCAAAGCTTTTCCCTAAAATATTAAAAAAAAAAACTTGGAACTGCTTGAAAAAGGACGACTAAAGTACACGCTACTTTAAATGTTGCAAAATTGATTTCTTAACATTTGAATTCTTATTTAAATATCAATAATTTAGTTGTAATTAAATATATTGAAAGGATGACAACTCAGATGGCTTTAGTGCCATAAAATGGATTTCCTGGGGCAAAATACAGCAAAAGATTTATGAATCCAATCCATTTTTTTTTTGCCATAAAAGTCCCTGTGTGGCAAGTACAATTTCCAGAATAATTGCGATAACTACCGTCTCAGTGGTAAAATCGAATTTGTTATAGCTCTATGTGTTGTTTAGAATGTATTGTTATCCTTTCAAGAAAAAGGGGACACTGCACATTTTATGGCATTTGCAAGCATTTTTTATGGTTTTGCACCAGAATGCATTACGAGCAGATTGCTAGGTAGCTTTATTCACAAACATGCATTATATATGTATATTTTATTTCTATATTTTAGTAATATATACGTAAGGTAGTATTACGATTTATAAAAATAGAAGAGTACATGATGTAAATTAATAGAAATAATCCAATATAGCATGTGTTAACAAATGTAAAACAGTAAACGATTATTTTTTTATTTTAAAGGACCTATCCTTTTAATGCAGCTGCGTCAAGTGGTTTAACCTCTCTAGCTGTGTGTATACATATACATGTACATATACATGTACTTAGTTTTTGAAAACCACTTCTTCTTCTGGTATATGACAGGGAACATTCTCACATTCTGGTGTGGTGTTTGGCGCACAGTTCTGCATTCTGTATATTCTGCTTTTTCAAATAAATACCCGTGGTGTTAGGTTCAATGGTTTTCAATGCATCTCCGTCGCAGTTTACGGTCTCTTATTACATACAAAGGATGTTTAATTTTGTAGATACAATTTTCTTAAATACAAATTTACAGCTGCATGCAACTTACAGCAAAAGCATGACTTTCTTTTAGTAAAAAAAAAACGACTAATCACTCTTTAACGTCTATCTCCGCGTCCTTTTTTATTCAGGATTACAGCAATTTATTGCACAATCCAAACTGCTCGACAATCACCTCCACTGGGAGAAAATGTACTCCTTAAACATATTTGATTGCCAAATTACCTCTCAATCCACATCCTTATGACGCAACTAATTGGTTATGGAACAATTCGGTCATCAGACTTTACTTGGGGAATAATGTCTCTCCTTCGGAAGCGATTACGTAAAGTTTATGGATTAATACCAACGTGAATATTGTCCCTGATCCAATTTGTGTTAAACAAATGAAGACAACGTTTCTCCTCATCTGTAATTGCTGGCATCGCCTCAAACAGACCTGTGGGATATTGCGTGCAAGCAGGCGGATTTCCAGTAGAAATAGAACGGCACAGCTCATTTCACCTAAGCAGAGCTGTTGTACAGTGGCCCTATTCTTTTGATACACACACTGGACAATAGAAGCGTCACCCCCTGGACACACACTGGACATTAGAAGTATCACAGTAATCAAAGTTATAATGCCTGGTCTACTTATAATGTGACTAATGAGTATAAAACCGCTGTACCGTGGAATTTTATTGTTGGTCTTTTTGTGAAATTTGATGTTTATAAAATGATACCAGGAGCATATCATTCCAGAGTCATTTATCTCCTTCAAAGTATTGGTTCAGTAGGGGTGACACTACTATTGTCCAGTGTGTGTAGTTGTTTATTATTATGAAGAATATAACTGACCGACGTTGTTTTCTCCACATGAGACCTTTCACTCTGTAAATGACCTGGATGAACTGGTCACCAGATCATACAGATAGGAATAGTCTCCAGTGGCTCGCCCAGCGTCCCATTTATACGTACTTGTCATCATATTGACGACCTACATGTATGTTGACCTTATACAGGGGCAGATCCAGAATAATTTGATGGGGGGTCCGCCGATGTGAAGCCCTCCTCTGCCCCCTCCCTTGGCCTGGGTTTTGGGGCCTGCTGAAGGTCCTCGAAAATTTTTGGTATTTTAGAGGGGGGGGGAGCGGTGCCATTTGGTACAGTTTAGAAATATGATTAATCTAGTCAAAATTCTAATTTCAAGAGGGGCCATTGGGTTTTCAGAAATCGAAGAGTGGGTGTTCAGGCCCCTCCCCCTAACCCTCCGCCTAAATCCGCCACTGAACTAATAATAATAGGTTAGTAACAGGCCTTCCCAACTACCAGACTCGGCACCTAAGGGTCCTGAATTAACCGGTATATCGGATCACGCTACCCGTTTTCAAGGTGTGTGTCAGATCGCATTTCGGAGTATCATGCCCCAGAACAAATTTTGTAGCACGACTGCGAGCTCATCCACGCTCGGCTGAACAACCTTAAACTGTACTCTTACTTTAGAGTACTCTATTTTATTGTCTCTATGGGGATATATGGGGACTTTATGACATTCGGTTTTAATTTTTTAACCACTTTTTATAGGGCTTTTTTGCATTGTATTAGATTAATGTGGCAGTCTAAGGTTCATCTAGGTGGCTTTCAAATTTATGCACCCGGTTTTAAAATCATATAGCGATTTTACGACAATCGTTTACTATCCAATCAAGCTTAGGTGACAGCCGAGAGCATGCCAGGGCTCATCCTGTCGGAATTCTGGCTGATACTCCGAAATGCGACCTGACACACACCTTGAAAACGGGTAGTGTGGTCCGGTATACCGGTTAATTCAGGATCCTTATGTGCCGAGTCTGGTAGTTGGGTAGGCCTGAGTAAGTAAGGCGGGCCCATGTATATTGGAAACAGCCGTAGGGCGGCGCTGTGATCTGGTTTTTGAAGCGTGCATTGTTCAGTAGTAAGCTTGATATACCAGGAAGCAATTTATTTTTTGATCCAGAACGTAATTATTTAACACTGGCATTTTCCTCATCAGAAAATGATGATGCATTGGCTGGAAGCCTTTAAGCTCCATCAGCGTCATGTTATTCAAGTATGCTGGTAAAATATCAGAGGGACCTTTCCCAGACCCTATCGTATTGACTATGGACCGATCTATCTTCGAGGGTAATTGCAATCAGCATAAGCAGCTTAGATGTCTGGCACGACTACTGAAGCTAGTGTGCCAGACATCTAACCCGTTTAAATTGAAAGCAATTGAGCTAGAACCCCCCCTGGAGACGGATCGAACCTGTTAGATCGATGTAGGTATGGGAACCCAGACTAAGGGACCGTTCACATGGAAAGTCTATTTTCTAAAAATGCATTTTCTATTCGCGGTATCTTGTGATCACGGTCCGTGCCCTGAATATCCCGCGGCGTAATTACTGCATGGCAGCGCGAGCCAGTTACTTCCAAAGCTGTAATTAATTCTCGGCTGTGCTCGGAGTGATCACAAGATACCGCGAATAGAAAATAGATTTTTAGAAAAATAGATTTTTCATGTGAACGGAGTCTTTATCTCCAGACCCGGTGGCTCCACGTTTTTGACGTGTTACTTTTACACGTACATAGGTCATGAGGTTTCACGAAACACGTCGTTTTAGGCGATAAAATCGGCCAGAGGGAGGCGACAGCCTAGATAATAGCTTTGGATTGAATCGATCAAAATAAAATGAAAAATCCATGCCAATTTGCTTTAAAAACGCTCAACGGGAATAGACGGGGTGTTTTATGACGAACTGATTTCAATTATAACACGGACAATTTCCTCCGCTCTAATTCCTCTGAGTCGCTTCAGTTGATTTACTTACTTCTGAATTTCATAGATAATCAATAACAATTCCTTCCATCGATACTGCACGTGACGACTCCTCACACTGACGTATGTGCTATGTTTCCTTTTCGTCCATTTATCTAATTACCGCGGACTTTGGCAAGTGCAAGCTCAATTAGCGCTAACGACAAAACACAATTTATAGATAAATGAATAGAACTGCAACGATTTGCCACTGAATCTGAGATTTTACACATTTGAAAATTAATTGCATGCGAAGTGGAATTACTGTCCTGGTAATGCACTGTAAAAGTACGGCTGACCCCGGTGATGTGATGACGGGCTACAGGATATTTTGTCTGTCTCAGCTCTAGGGCACTTTCACCCGTCGATATTGGTTATCTGAGGTCAGATTTACGCACGCGTATAGTGGAAACAAGCTGGGCCCTGTATCTCGAAAGCATCGGTTGTTGCGAGCGGGCGCAAGCATGGCGATTCTTTGCTATCCCATATCTCGAAAGCCTCGCAAATCGCGACCGTGCGCTAAAAACGAAATCATCATTAGTTTCGAGGGTATTATTTGCGTCGAGTAAAACCCGTCGCATTGGCCTCTGCGTAATTCGTCATTTTGGTATGCCTTTCATGTAATTAAGAATGGCGGCAAGTTTGGGTTGCTAGTCATAATAGCATAGGCCTATAACAAAATATAAAACAAAAACATGGAAGCTTATAATAGATTGAATCACTCGGTACCTCTGATAGAAAAACTTGCGGTATTTATTCTCGTGAAGAATGTTAAAGTCATGTTTTATTATGCATAAAAATTTCAAATTTAAACATTTCATACATCATTTCATATATAATTCATCTGTGTAGTCTATTGATATTAATCATAAATTTAAAAGTGTCATTTTCTACACAAAAAAAGAATTGTGTCAGTCCAAGGTTCGCTTATTGAATTGTTTTTGACATTTTATTGGTGTCGAACACTTAGGGGCTTCAGTAGGCGTGCCAGACAAATAAGCCACTTTAGCTGAAAGCATTTTAGCGAGAAACCCCTTGCAGATGGATCTATCCTGTTAGATCGATGTAGCATTGGGAACCCAGTCTATAACATTAGAGAATACTGCTGTAACCGGTCATTCAGATAAGAGCATCGGTCACGTTTTTCTCTGAGATAGAAGTGACAAATCAAAATCATTTGTTAAGGATATTTTTTATATCATTATTAAAATCACGTGCAGTAAGAACATATGTAACAGCCATCAGTTTTCCTGAACTAATAAAGCGACGGTAAAACATCACCGCCTGAGACT